GCGCACCCATGTTTATAGCAGCACAATTTGTTATAGCTAAATCTTGGAAACAACCTAGATGCCCATCCACTAAGGAATGGATAAAAAAGTTGTGGTATTTTTATACAATGGAGTATTACTCAGCTATTAAAAAAGATAATCTTGAGGCTTTTGTAGGTAAATGGATGCAACTAGAGACTATACTCATAAATAATCAGACCCACATGTGTAAACATTATATTGTCTCCTTGGTGTAGGAACCTGAAAGACTAGATAAAACTCAACATGTACGATAGATGATAGGAAAGGGAAAAAAACTGCTCAAAGGAAGGAATGAGTTGGATGAGGGAAAGAAGAAAAAAGAAGGCAGGCAAAACATAAATATATATATGAATAGCTGGGATGACTGTATTGCTGATGTCTGATGGTGTATTGAAATGAAGTTAGTGCTCACAATTTTTTATGTTCTGATCAACTTTGCATGCTTGTGTCTGGTGGTCTGAGCAACTGATTTGAAGGTAACAATATACAATGGAATTACAATGGTGAACTCCTACCATGTTGTCTAGTAAAACTCTAATCGTTTTATTGAAGAATTGTTTTATTCTCCTTAACGGTTTGTGCAATCTTTCATTCTTATATTTGGTAATCTGAGCAATGTAGTTGAGGATAGCAATATGTAATGTAACAACCACTGTTGATTCATATTATTTTGTCTTGAGATCCTGTATCACTTTGAATGTTCTTGCTTTGTTTATTTTGTGATACTGGTATGTTGCTACTGTTCTATTTCTTCGTTTGTTTGTTTCTCATTTACTACTCTCTTTAAAATTAAATAAATAAATAAATTCAGGCATTCTTAAACAACCCCTTCCAAAATTGGCTCCTGATTATAACCTGATACGGCGAGTGGTGCATGGATTTCTTCTCCATCTCTAGCCTGCCATGCATAAGGAGTAACTTTTTTTGCACCTTATATTAGCTGGGGACTTTTCTTGAGGTTAGTGCTGCTCACTCTGTCCACTGTTTCTCCCTGGCACTGCCAACCCTCTAGTACCACCCTCTTTTCCCAGCATTTGCCTCATCCACAATCAGGTCAGTCCATCCCTCTGCAGTCCCTGCCTAGTCAGCGTGGAGTTTGCTGGTGGCTGCGGTGATGGCCTGGAATCCATGGCTACGCAGTTGGCCTGGGGTGAACATGGTCCTGTCAACTTTCTGGGTTTGGATCCCCAGGCTGTCTCCTCCATGCCCAAGGTTTCCTGCATGCATGGGCCACTAATTCCCTTCCCTCCACTATTTTTAACAAAGACTCTTTACTCAGGGTTTACGACATGTGAAATCCTGGGTACCCAAAATTATATAAGAGGTGGCTACCAATTTTTACTAGCAGGATTCATATATTTCTATCAGTAATTGAACTGATTGTAGTTTTACCTTTCTAGTTTTACCCACACTTAGATCTACTTTATAAAACAAATTGAGGTAGTATGTGAATGGCAGTTGTTTTCATGTCTTTGAGAACTTTGCAAGATATTTTGTGAGATGAATCACTCTTTCCATGGAGTGGAGACTTCTCAGCACAATTTTTCAACAACCCACAGACTTTGAGCCCTTAGGCTTAAACAGGAACCCTAACACCATGGTGGAGCTGCTGTCCTTACCATGCTGCTCTTAGCTGAAAACACAGCCCAGACACAGCTCTTGGATTTTCCCTTGAGAGGGTGCGCCCAAACTGATTTCCAGTGCTCTTCACGCCAATAGCTTCACATAGCCATTTTAGATCTCCACTTATCACACATGTGCCTCTTTTAGCTTGTTTTTATAAAGTTTCAAAAATCAATGTTATTTCCTTCAACTTAGGAGGTACGACCCATACACAAAGGCATGCCAAAATTAAACAAGCCAAGAGATTTGTAATTTTAAATAACTTAGAATGTCAAAAAGCTCCTTGACTTCTGTCAAAGGGCTAAGAAAAAAGTTCCAGTTAGTAAATATTTACCACGCTGAAAAATTTTAGTTACAAGTGATCACCAACACAGGCTGCACTTTTGTGGGATGAGAACTGAGGAGTTGGTTGCAGATCAGAGGAACATCAGAGTGATTGGTCCATTAAACGACAGTTGAAACGAAAGACCTCAAATGTGTGACCTAGGGGTGGCATACTTTAGAAGCAACTGGCAATTTTTGGAAGGTGTCATGTACATATGTGAGAACACTTTTTCTTTCTTTTCATTTAAAATTTTTTTAACTGATAAATTTTAGCAGCTAACATTTTTTTAACATAAAAATTGTACATATTAGTAGGGTGCCATGAGATGTTCTATACAAGTATATATTGCATAATATTGTGAAAATATCTCATTTCACTGATTTGGTAATCATACAGCAGGCCAAGATGCTAGGTGAGTATAAAATTGCTTTCCTGTAGAATGTACTGTACTTATGAACTTTAAAGTTCCTGAATAAAAAAGGTGTTTAAATTAGATCAGTGTAAAATGGATGCTTTTGTTTTTATGACACATATACATACTAAATTATAAGTCATATTAAAGTTTATTTAAAAATACATGGTCACATCAGAATGCATGTTTTACAGAGTTTAAAAGCAAGTTTTCTATTAAAAATTCTAAAAAAAGAATCCACCTTTATAAAAAGGAACACTGATTATCATTAAAAACATTAAATTTAATATCACTATAAAAAGATCTTTATATTTGCACAAATCCAATGTATTTGCTGCTTTTCTTAGACACAATTTCTGTGTGGTTTAGGCTCTGTGAACAATTTCTACTAAGTAAAGTGACAAAAAGATAAAGCAATAAAAGAATGGGGCACCACTCGTGGACATGCAAAGTGAAAGGTCATCAGCCAGCCATGGCCAGAATCCAACCCTGCTGACAGTGGAGAAGTTCTTTGCCAGTTGGGGCCTGGCCATGCCCTGGGGCACTGTGAGGCTGGCTGTGTCTCCAGGAAAGGCAGCAGGCCAGGCTCTGGTATGCCAGTTCCAAGCAGCAACCACCGCTCCCATGGGTCACAGATGTTCCTTGGTCCTCCTTCACCTTGCCATACTCACAGGATGTTGGGAGCTGCAATTAAGGACCCAAAGGACCTTATTTTCCTCTGAAGTCTCTTACATCGTATTTTACCATCACTCTAAGACTCTACTACACCAATTGGTAGCTATAAATGCTCTCATACTGTAGGCTGCTGGACCGTGGAGCCAGTCTGGGGTCCTATCTCTGATTTGCTTGGGGAAGCAGTGATCAGAGAAGGGTGCTGGGTGAATAACCTCCATGCAGAATGTTCCCAACAAGTAGTGTTACCAAGTGGGTTGAGGCATGCATTTTAATAAGACTAAACTGTGTCCACATAAACAATATGAATATTACAAAAACCAACATCCAAACCAGTGACAACAGTAACAGATCAAACCTCTTGAAATGCAAAAAGCTAAAGTGTTTAAATATAATTACACAAGGAAAAAAAACCACTTCAGCTAAATAACAAATTCAAACAACCTTATTTTCACATCTATATGACTAAACAATTAACTTTGTTGGCACTATTTACTACATAAATTTCAGTACTTTCCCCCTTGATATATAAGTACGTTAAAGAACTTTATAAAGTAGAAAATATACAAAGAAGGCACTGTTTCGGCATTAGTGAAAAGGATAATTGCACCCACCCCACCAAAACCCACACTAATCACATGACATCATGACTTCTAATAATCCATGATGTACCCTTGAAATCCAATCTTTTGCCAACTGTGGAAATTATACTTTTGGTGTTGAATGTCACTTGATGCCTATAAACAACAAGCAGTGCAAGGAAGGCTGAGCCAGACAGCATCTTGGGACAGCCTCATCATGTATTCTGTAATCTCACAACCACCGAAATTCAAGAGAGAAGATAAGGCTTAGGTGCTCCCTCTGTCATCATTAGCATTGGAGGATGATTACTTTTCCTTATTCTCCCTGAACAGTACTCAAATAAATTGAGAAAATAATTTTGTAAAAACAGGCTCTAAGTTAAAATGTTTTATTAATTTTTTGAAGACCTATTTGCAAATACCTAGGACTTAGAAAATATTTTGCTACTATTTAAAAGACATAGTCTTAAAAATAGTTTATTCATACAAATTGGAATTAGACAAGCCCTTATTCTTTAAAAGATAATTCAGAAACTAGCTTTTTTTATTTGTCAACTATGGTTGGTAATAGTAAAGTTTTATATATCAACATTCAGATAGTCAAATGATACATTGTTCTTAGTTTTCCTGGCATTTATCTCTGGGGAAAACATGATTAGGCAAGAATATGTATTTTAGTATATATTAAAGGTTGCTATAAGTTTTCCCCATTAAAGAGTTTTTAAACTTGAGTTTTCATAGATGTCTTGTAATTGTAGGGTTAGCATTGCCTTTATATGGTAATTCACAAATGACTCTTGTTTTAAGAGTACCAAAGTGCTATTATGAGAAATTCTCACTAAAAATGCTGAGAGCATAGTTCCTAACATAACAAAAGAAGAGTAATGTAAGCTACTTTCACACAATCACAATTAAAATAATATGTACACAAATGTTTAAAATTTTTGCAGAGTTTATGTAATTTTGCTTACTGGTCAAATCTATACATAGGACATTTTGGTAACCATAAGAAAGTAAAAATATTTTGTTTAAAGGGTTATAAAACCAAATGCAGGAATAGAGAAGCGGCAAAATGCTGGTTTTCACTAGTGAACACCAGGGTGGTTATATAAGAAAGGCTGCAACAGAAATAAGTAAACAGGACACCCCAGTGTCTCCTACCCCTACTCCATTCAGATTATAAAGCACCTGTTATGTTCTAGGTCAGTTTATATTAGAAACAGGATAAATATTTCTTACACTACCTACAGAAAACATACATATAAAATTATGTATTTTAAAATAGTTTAAAACCTAAAATATGTATCAATAGAAAACATTACTTTTTCACTACACAGGTTGAGTTTTTTGTCCACATAACAATATCATATCTAAAGCCCATTATAAACCCAACTTACAGATACTGGAAACATGTTCACTTATACATACATACAACACATGCAAACATGTTTACATACATGCAAACATGCATACTTGAGTCTTCACAGAAAAAAAACCAATATGGTCACCAACAAAGCATCTCTTCATAAATATTTATATTTGTAAAGTGTTTGAATATGGAAAAAACAGTTTTTACCTTAATTCTGCTCCTAACTGAACACAGCATAACAGTTTCAGCTGCCTATCACATGCTAAAATCTTGTGGTTTTGTGACAGATATAAGTATTTATATATGAAATTATTCATTTCCTGGGTGAAGGCACTGTTCTAGACTGATTAGAGAATTAAAAAAAGTCCACAGTATATTGCCAAACATTTGTGATCATGCCTACAGCCCTTACATAAATATTTTACCGTTTGCTTATCTACCTCCTCCTCTCTAGTAAAACAGCAAACCTGAAAGAATTCTGGGCTTCAGATTCTACCACGCTGATCCTGGAAACCGTGGGATGTCAGTAACAAGCTATGTCCGGGAAGCCCCAACATGAGCAGCACAAACCCAGGCTGTTTATCTATCCCACACCTCAACACAATAGACTCTGGTTACACAAAGTAACTGCAGCCTTCTTTTTTTTATAGCATCAGTGAAGTAATTGATTTCATAGATTTTTCAGAAAACAGACATTTTTCTTGCCTCTGGATTACACAAATAAATTAGCATGCTTGGTAATATTCCCCATAATGTCCTGGGAATGTCACCCACATGTAAGTCTCTAGCCTCTAGCTTCATCTAATAAACTATTTGTACAAAAAAATTCATTAAGAGAAAAACACACTGAAGATAATCCACTAAAAAAGTAAATATAGTAATTAGAGAATCTTACATACCAAAATTTATTTCCAATTTGGTTACCTTTTTAGCTTGATGTTTTAAATAATCACATTTTTAAACCAAAATATTCCCCTACTCATTGACAAGTTATTGTAGCATACCAGAGCTTGTATTAATATCCTTAATGTGCTGGTTTAAAAGAACATAAAATAAAAAGAGTTGAAGATTTATGGGCGGGAGAGAAAAACATGCATGTTTCCAAGAGAACATCAGAGGCAGATCAGATCTGAATCACTTAAATTGGTCAAAGAGCTCTGCAATGCCAGGATAGACATTTTAACATCAGAATATGATCACTTTCTCTAACATTCCTCCATCTTTTCCTCTTTTGCACATTGTGAAAATAAAAGTCACTTCACACCCTCACATCTAGGATAAAACAAAGTAATAGATACAAAGGAGTGAATTCTGTGCCTGATGACGTTAAAAAAGATGCAACTGTGATTAAATGTTAAAAGTGGTAGACAAAAAATATGGCTCATTCTACCACTGTGGGAGATCTACTGTTTTATTTCAAATAACTTTTTAAAAGAGGTATACCTGGTATCTGCTTATTCAAGCACATGCCCAACTCTTTGATTTCCAACACATTCTCATTGTGGCCACTGACACTAGTGTTTGTGTCTCTCTAGTTTTTAGGGTCCCACTTAGATCACAGTACCTCTCTCGAGCCCCTCATTGGGTGGAGGCGATATATCATTTATAGCAGGTGAAGGCCTCATATTTAAGGACCACAGGCTCATAAAGATAGGAGTTCAGAAAGATGCCGATGGTGACATGGAATGCCTCACTGTCCTATAGTAAAGCAGGAGCAAACGCTTTTATTGGTGAAAGTATTAGCTAACATACCATGCAGGAAAACATATTTGTATAAACCAACTGCTGGCATTTATAAGTTACTGAAAAGGCTCATTTCTAATCCTCTCCTCTGACCCCTGTTCAAGGTTAGACATCATGCTGGATAACTGTACTTTTAGCCATGTCTAAACTGACATTGATGAAGCCTACAGTAATAAAGAAAAACAACTAATTATTTTCCCAACCACAAAGGGCATATACAGATCATTTTTCAGTGATACACCACCAATTCTGACAAGACTGGAATAACGTCACATGATAATAGTAAAACACCAACTAACTTGCAACATTCACGTTCCCAACCCCACCCACACTCTCACACTATTTTGGGGGTATTCATCACTGAGGAGAGAACCCACAATTCACCATTTGAAGAGATGCTGGTTAGATGAGTAAGTATACATTAGGATGAATTATGTATGCAGCAAATCCATGACAACCTAGTATGATGATGACATCCTGTCATGGTCTACTCAGTGTAGGACATGCACGTTAAGACTGTGGACCAGGTCTACTCTTACAAGCATTAGCATTCACTTGTCTTTTCATGGAATATGAAAGGTAAACTGAGATTTCTTTGGTGATGGTCATTTTCTTGAATAGCAGATTTTTCTGCTGCTGCATTAATGTTGTCTGAATAAGCATCTTCATCATCTTCTTCATCCCTTGGGTTACCCTCCAGGCTATGTCTAATGCCATAAGCAAAGTAAATCAGGAAGCCTTTTGGGAGAGAAAAAAAAATAAACATTTTAGCTGCACCAGGAAGAACTGCTGTGGTATGGAAAATTTAATACACAACTTAACAGGCTCTTTCTGTGCTGCTTTAGAAGAATGGGATGCAAATACAAGATACTGTATCTTCCATAACTGCTTTCCCAATAGAAGAAGCCTCTTCATTTTCAACTCCCAAACTTTACCAGAGTGCATTTTTCTCTAAATAAATGTTTTTTCAGACAATATTTAAGTGGAAAAAAATTGTATTTATGTTCTCAAAACTCAGTGCCATACTTTAAACTAAATGATATATGGAGTAAAGACTAAAATTATACCCTAATAAATACAAGGAGTTGATTATCCATCACGGCCAGCCATCTTGGAAAGCATGTCTAGTGTTAACAAAGGGGATGGACATGCCTTCTACATGTCGTCACAATCACTGAGAAAGGACAAAGTGATTAGGAGCCATGCTAACTGTGTGGGGATAGGAGCCACTGTCTTATGTGTCCTCATAAGATGATTATATTGTGTATTTTAGTTATATTTTTAAAAACCGGACAAGAATTTTAAGTTGCTCTGAAATGACTCTTTTGGGCTTTATTTTTCTCATCCATAAGTAGGAGAAAATAAAATAAAATTTACATGGTTCTGCATGGTAACTGGAGATTTGAATTTAAAAAGGTATCTGAGCTCAGAACACTTGCCTAACATGCCTGAGGTCCTGAGTTCAATCCCAGCACCCATCTCCCCTCCCACAAGATATCTAGAAATGCCTTCAGATGTTCTAAAGATAAGAATTGCGATAGAAAGAAACTGAAAAAAACAGTTTTTATTTCCAGGAAAAGGGAAAAAGTGCAGTTCTCTAACCATAGCCCATGAAAGTGGAGAGTGTCAAGGGTCTGAAAGCTAAAGTGTTAAAAGACCTACCAAGTGTCATCCAAATGCTGAATCTGACCCAGGTATCTGCATTCAACTGGACCATCAGATAAATGTTTACCAGGATGCTGAATGCTGGCAAAAATGGTAAGAATGGAACCTAAGGAGAAAAACATCTTTTTGAATACACTCATTGTTATGGTTTATGTCTGTGTGTCCCCCCAGTGTCTCATGCGGACATGGGGCAGGCTATTAGAGTTGAATGATTGTGGGTGTGAGAGCTACACCCGCCCTGGGGTGGATAGTTTGCATATGTAAGGGAGAGGAAGAAGCTGCTTGGGGGCATTCCTCCCCCATTCCGCCCTGGTGGGTGCTTGCGGCTTAGCTGTATGCTGCCGCCCTGAGATGCAGCCCTCTGCAATGTGCCACTCTGCCTTATAATCTGCCAAGTACGGATTGAAACTTCCATGAACTGTAAGCAAAAAAAACCTTTCCTTCCTTAATTTTGGGCATCAGGTATTTTGTCCCAGCAGCAAGAAAAAAGTAACCAAGACACTCATACTTTGAAAAGATACTTTTTAAATTATTTCAAGATGGTGATATTAATTTGACATATATACTTTCAGACTATACCAGTAAGCTTGTAGTCTAACAAAAAAGACATCCTGAATAAAAACTATTTTTCTAGAGATTACTAAAAGGAGAATGACATTTTAGATTATTTGCTGGAGCTCAAACCAAATGAAGTTTATCAAATTGGGTAACACCTGCCACAGCACTAGGATACAATGGTATTTGGGGTTCAGTTTAGATTAGGATTTACTGGTATAGTACAGATATCAATAGGTCATTCTCTGGAACTCTGTCTGGGTACACACAGTAGCCTGGGAGATACTTCTAGGAGGCCCTCTTCACACCCTAGCCTGCTCCTAGTTCTAATGGGGCAGGATAACAAAAACACACAGAGGAAGGGCTTTTGCTGGAAATAAATCCTCATGAGAGGGTTCTAAATTTCTAAAAATAAAATATTCAAATTACTTTTCTGATGTTTTACATTTAAGAAAATATTGTTTGCTTTATGGTTTTTGAGAAAGGGAGTTTTTGAGACAGCCACCGTGGAGAAAATACTGAGACAAAAAGAACACATCAAAAATTTTGACACTCTTGCTCATTGGTTAACTGTGTTAAGCTTTTTTCTTTTTTGAAACAACTCACAAACACACAGAAAGTACATATCATGTTTAGGGTCTCCAAGCCTCATGATACATACCATAAAGGCTACTCTTTGCTGATTCTGTGGTTGCCTCCAAATGGTAAGAACAACAGCAATGCAGAGAACAAGGAACAGCACAAGAAGGGCGAGGCTCCAGCCCTCCAGCCTCGAGATAGCTTGCACTCCATATGTGGTCAGAATACTCAGGCCCAGCACAAGAAATGCTGCAAGGGGACAGGCATGTAGAGTGGAGTCAGCATGCATGCTTTGCTTAAACCCTCAGTTCTAGCAGTTTATTCTGACACATCAAGTTCTTTACCTATCTACTTTGGTAAATACAGTCTTCCTTTTGTCTTTTCTTATTTTTCACTATGAAAAGAAGCAGTCAGTTTCACTGAGTTAAGAAGCATTGCTCATTTCACTAATGTCTCAGAAACCAGTCTTCGCACTTGGAGCTACCATCTTGCTTTCTCTGCCCAGGCACCTCTGGTCCTCATTTGCTACTCTCAGGCTATATCACAGTGACTGATGGGATGTGCTAGGGGCAGATATCTTCTGTTTTAAAGATGAGAAATAGCAACTCTGTTTCAAACTGTTATAAAGATGGATTGCTAACGTAGACAAGTAGTAGTACATGATCTACAACTTTTGTCTGTTTTAGACAAAGACATCATCCCACCTCTGACCATCAAGTCTGCATCAGAAGATCTCCCATTTGCTCTTAGAGATACCTGCCCTTCTCTAGCTTGTCACCAATAATCTTGTGTCATAAAGCCCTGTGACAGCAAGGACCATCCCTCTCAACATCCCAAACCCCCACAGAGTGTGTGGTATACAGATGAGACTCAATAAATGTCACTGGAAATATGGATACTTAGGTAACTGTGACTGAGCAAACCAGGATTTTCTATGTTCCTTCCTCACCCCATTGGGCTCATCCACTACTGCTAGGTGTGCCTGGCCTGAAGCTTTCACACACAGTCTAACAGCTAATGAAATGTCCCAGTTATGCCCCCTTACCTTAGAGAATTTCTTCCTTTCTTCTTCAATCACCAAGTTATGTTAAACTTATCTTGACAGTATAAACATGAACTCAGTTACCAATGACTCTACTCTGTAGATGGAAATTTCAGGGTTCAAGCTGGTAGCTAACATATTCCTAGGGCATCATGGGGCCTTTGGTCCTCTTTCTTACATGTATCTACTGGTTCTTTATCACACATGCAGTGAAGATGACTTACCCAGGAATCCCACCAGAAAGCTCACAAGAGATGCTGACTGTCTTGTAGGCAGAGCTGAGGGGCTGAAGAGGGTTCGCAGGCTGAAGCCATGTCCTTGCAACATGGTGATCTGGGACTCACTTTTTGAGGTCACACTGGCACATGATTCCAGACCTTCTTTTTCAGGGGAACATTTAGGCTGCTCATAACACAAACCAGGCTGGTACCTATCCCCAAATAAATATCTGTGTCTTTATTCTCAAATAGACATTTGGCCCAAATCAATCCAGCAATAAGACTCTAGGTGAGACGTTTTAAAAAGTCCCGGTATGTGTGGTCAAGTGATACTTCTCATGACTCCAGCCCCCTACTGTGCTGGGACAGGCCACAAACCTTTTCAATAAAGTATTTGCAGCAACTATGAACTTCCTCTGATAGCCACTTAATTAGAAAGTTATAGTGTTGATGCAAAAAAAGTTACATTTTAAGGTGAGGCAACTGTGACAATAAGATGATTATTTCTGAAATCATCTAAGTCCAAAGGAAACACAGTGTCTAAAAACATCATGGAAACTATAGTTAAATATGAGCTATAGAATAATGCAGTCTCCTTGGGGTGAGTATTCAAAAGCCTCATCACATGGCTAATCTAGACTGTCAGCTTGACCAGATTCAGAAACACCTATGAAACTAGTAAATCATAGTCTTAGTCACATCTGTGAGGACAGCAGGCATGTGGGACGCAAACTGAGTGAGGCATGGTGTTGTTAGGCTGGAGGCCCAGGTGCACAAGGAGAAGGAGGACGCTCGCCAGCACAGATGCACTCTGCTTCCTGTCTGCCATGGGGTGAGCAGCTCTCCTCTGCCATGATGCTTCTACCTTGCCACAGGCAGAGAAGCAATGGAGTCAGCCAACTATGGACTGAAACCTCCAAAGCCAGGAGCAAAAATAAACCTTTCTTCCGTAAGTTGTTACAGCAATAGAAGCTTTGTTGTAGCAACAGGAATCTAACACACAGCCTCTTTATCCCCATCTCTCAACTTTCCAACCTGGCTCCTCTACCTTAACCAAAACATGCTTATCTAGCCATACATCCACCTCCCATCCTATGCACACTATTATCCTTTATGAATTTACTCTTTTTCTCTATAGCTTGTGTCAAGATATCAGCCTACTTCACCACCTAGTATCTGCCACAGTCTTCTCACTGTAGCCTCCTCTCTTTCTGAGCACCCTTTGCTTATTTTAGAAAGTAACATTTTTTCTCCATATAAAAAACATGCCTACTGTGGAAAACTACCCATAACATCCCTATCCAGTGCTAATCATTATTAGCATTTTGGTATAATTTCATCTATCTATCTATCTATCTACACACATATACTACTTCTTAATGTAAATTTGTGTTATTATTTAAATTCAGATGTTGTATTCTGAAACAGAAATATTTATCTATATAATTATTATTTTATTTGCCATAGAAGAATCCACTAACCATTCTCCCACTGTTATTCACATGAGCTGCATTTTTTTCACTCATAAATTTGCCTTTTCCATGAACATCCTTTTGCCTGTTTGATTAAGCCTACAGTAATGGGATGAATTGGTTGTTGTTTGTTTTTGGTTTTTGCAGTACTGGAGATTGAATCCAGGAACTTTGTATTAATACATCACCAACACTTTTAAAAATTACTTTAAATTGCTGGAGCTGGGCTTGAACTCACCATCCAATTGTCTTTACTTTCTGTACCCCACCTGGCACACCCTCTTCAAAATCACTGGTAACTCACCTGAGGATGAGTACACAGGCTGCAACCAGAGAATAGGCCATAAGTGTGCCAATGGACATCATGTCCACCAGGGCTTTCAGGTCAAAAAGAAATGCCATCACAGCTATGAATAAAAGAAAGTAAAGAAAGGTAAAGCCAATTCTGTGATGAAATTCTGCACAGTTCACTTGTAAGTCAGAGACAAACAACTGGCATTTTTTGTTTCAGTACTAATGGTCAAACGAAGCATAAAAAGTATCTCTCAGCGTATAAGATGTCCTTTAGAACACATAAATCACTAATAACGCTTGAAAAACTTGTGGGCTCTCTTAAAGACATACCTACTTTGATTACTTACAACATACCTGTCCAAATGTGAAAATATTCGATGACAGAAGACCATGTTTTGATGCATCAGAAGAAAAATACTGCTAGGAAATACTGGCTAGCTTGCTTTTATAAATCAAAAAATTCCAAATAGTTTCATTACAGAAGTAAAAAATCATTTTAATTTCCAGCTGTATTAAACGTTATAACATAAAATTCAAAAATTTTAAAATACTTTTGACAAAATTAATGATTTTCAATTAAATTATATTTCTGATATAGACTAAATTTTACTTTTATTAAATTAAAGCTACACCTTCTAAGTAGGCTGATTAGATGTAAAAGATCAACTTGCGATCCTGTACACCAAATCCCAATAAAGTTAGGAGGTAAAATGTAATATTAATTTGAATTTTTAATTTACCACATAGTAGTCCCTATCTTAATAAGTAGGTAACATCACATTCAATTTAGGTGATATTTTAGACCTCTATGCAACTTTTATATCTCTGATCTTATCTTCAAGTCAATGATCATTTGAGGTGGGAAATTCTGGCTATATAAAATGATGTGTATTTAACTACTTTTGACCAAAACTCTGGCAGTGTCCCATGGTTTGGTCTGATTGGAATATCCCCATTTTGTAGAAAGGTTAACTTAGCAAGGATATACTCACTTGGTAGAGGCAGAGTTCTACTCAACCCAACCTTGCTATGTGTACTACTTTCACAATACCACATCCTTTAAAAAAATATTTTTGTTTTGCAGTGCTGGGATTGAATTCATTCTCTTTAAATATACTATATGTAGCACTCTTCATTGCTAGTATACATACTAAATTATTAAAATTTTAGTAGTTTTTTTAAAGATCACAGTCAAATAAGGTAGCCAAGAGAGGAAAAAAATGATTATTTATCTGTATCAGTCCTCTGGTCCAAATTAAAAACAGGTGTAATAAGGTACTGCAGTACAAAATGATAAAAATATAGTATTTTAGAACATTAAAAGCATTCTAATTATCTTCTTTTAATTATTAATGTCAGTATTTTATTCTGCTAAATTCCATTCTTCCTGAAGGAATGAGAAAAATAAATTATTTTTAAAATTCTGAATACAAAAGAGTTATTATTGGGCAAGATTTTTACTGGAAAGAGTAATGAGTTTTGGGGATTAAATAAGATGTGTGATCCTTGTCAAGAAATATTTATGAACTGTTTTAATGAAATACACTGTTTTAATCATAAAATGGGCTTTAGATCATCTAACAGAATCTTCATTTTATGGGGACAGAAATCTAAGCCTGATAAAATATGAGACCTGACCTTTCAAAATGCAGTATCGTTTATCCGATGTCAGAGCTATTAAAAAATGTTTGCTACTAAAAGAAAGCTGGTTGGGTAAATACTTTCTGATCCTGAAAAACAATCCACTTCATACATAATGAGACATTAACATTCTCTAATTTTCCAACACTTCAGAGCCTCAATTAATCATTTTGATTTGAATTTCTAATGCCAAGACTGTAACATTTTATATAGTTATAAAGCTTGCTAAAATCTTCTCTTTCTTCCTATAACAGTACCTTTATGGCTGTTCTCTTAATCTACAGAATCTCTGAAAATTTCTCCATGCTGTAACAATCTGGCTAAAAGAATTTTGCATGAATTATTAAGACACGTAAAAACATAGGCATTATGGATTTTGTGAATATAACCTGCACATCCTGTCAAAGGGACGACTAGATTCTCCATGGGGTTTGAGAGGATGCGAGTCTTAGAGACGCAAGAAGCCCAGGAGAAAGGGGTGCCTGCCCTACTAAGAGCAGTGAGCACAATGGCCAGCTATGAGCTATCGAGGGCATTTCTCATGCTTGATCAAAAGGAAATGAAGTTTACTCTTTTAAAAACTCCCAGAGATTTTGCAAATTTCTTCATGTATTTGTTGGCCATGTGTACTTTTTTTCTGTAAAGTGTATCTGTTTATTTAATTTGCTCATTTCTTAAATTGGCCTTTTATGCGGTCTAGTTTTTGTTGAGTTCTTTATATATTCCAGATATTAGTCCTCTGTCTGAGAAATAACTGGCAAAAACTTCTTCCCCATTCTATAGGCTTTCTCTTTACTAACTGATTACCTTGCTATATAGAAATTTTTAATTTGATGTATCTCGCTTATTAATGTTTGCTGTTACTTGTTGTGCAATTGTGGTTCTGTTTAGAAAATCGTTTCCTATACCTATGACTTCTAGTGTTTCACTCACTCCACAAGATGAGTATAAACTGCATGTACTCCAAACATGTACTAATAAAAATCCCAGAGTCATTAAGTTCATATTACCAATACTAAGTAATTAATTTATTCTTCAATTAAAATTTTCTGCATCAAAAGAATTTTATGTGCCCATTCATTCAGTTACAAATAGTGAAAAACCTTTAGAATCTTTTGCACATTTGTTAGAAGCCCAAATTATTAAAATAATGAAATAATAAGCACCCCAAAGGATCAGTTAATTGTGAATTTCAGTACAGCACCACAATTTTCACGTTAATCTCAGTGTTCATACACTAATTTATCCAGAATTTTGTTCTTAACTTACATGCACAGCATGCAGATCCTCTTTGTAAGTCCAGACATGCGCACAAAATGTTCCCATCCAACGTTTGTAAAGCTTACCAGAAAAGACCCCTGCAGTCAATGTGGCAGCAACCGGGGACTGCCTCTTACTCACTCTGGCAAGAAATCTAAACAGTAAACCATCCCGGGCCATGGCAAACAGAATGCGGGGTAAAGGAAACATAGAGCCCAGAAGACTAGAACAGAAAAATCCATAATCCACATGTGAGTTATATAAAGTGCTATCCTAAACAGGTAAATATATAGGTTCAGACTGGACCCACTAAAGTACAGAACCAAAAAATTCAACATGGGAAATTCAACACAGGCACAAAAAACAACAACAAACAAAATAGAAAACCACCTAACTTTCTATTTTTTTCAGAGGCCTTGATGAAAAAGACCTCCCTTTTCTTAAGAAAAGTCAACTCTCTCACCTGCCACTGCACCCGATGATAAAGTAGCAATTACTGGTGTCTTCGTTTTGGAATTGATTTGAGCTAGGCATTTAAAAAGCAACCCATCCTCCGCCATAGCATAGATTACACGAGGCATTGGGAAAATGGATCCAAGAAGACTGAATAAAAAGCAAAGACATGCAGTATGGCAAACACATTCATGCACGATTACAAACCAGACTGAAATTAAGTAACTGTATAAAAATTAGCATGACAGTGTGATTATGAAGTCATTACTTTTTAAATGCACTATAATGGGGCATTTAAAAATATTTGCCAGTCTTGACCATCATGCTATTCATTATTCTGCTGCAGATGTTTGTCCAACCAAATTAACAGTCTAAAAACAATACTGTAACTCATTTGTGTGTACCAGGGTTATTATGGAATTAAAATGAAGTGATTAGACTTTTCAAAAAATCAAATAAATTATCATCATGACAAGATTAAATCATATAGCTTGATCTTTTGATCAAATTAGCAGTAATTCTCAGCACAATAAAATCAAGAAAGAGAAAGGTTAAAAAAAAAACTTACTGTAAATTGAATACAGAGAAGTAGCCAAAATTAAGTGTCAGTAACAGTAAAGTTTAGTAAGACAATGTTTGCTTTCTCTACCCCATAGAAGACTTAGTTGTGAAAAACAACATATAAGGGAAAACAAATAAAACATTTTATTTTAAAAGATTCATTATTGGGATCTGAAATCTTGGGCATCCTGTGGTCTGACTCCCACTGTATGTCCAGATCAGCAGCACTGCTGTCCTCACTTCCAGGCAGCAGCCGCATGGAGGCCCGTAAGTGTGGGGAAAATTGATTTTAAAAACTCCATTTTCATTTTATCTTTTAATAAGGGTGAGTTAAGCTTCGTCACAGATGAATCTCTGTCCACCACTTCTAAGACCACGACGGCATGGGTCTTCACAGTTAAGACATTTTTCTTTTGTGGTACTGAGGCTTGAGCCTAGGCCTAGCTAATGAGCTAGCAGGCAAGCTTCCTAGCACAGAGCTACATTCCAGCCCTACCCCTCACCCTTGAGACATGGTCACACTAACTTGCCTAGGCTGGTCCTAAACTATCGATTCTGCTGCTGAAGCCTCCTGAGCAGCTGAGAGTGCATGTAAAGGCCAGGGAACCTAGCTTAATTCCTAATTGCCATCCAATCTTATTTTCTCTAGAAAATATAAGAAATTTTGGAGGAAAAAAAAAGTTAGGTTGATGAATTTTATTACAAGCACACATGTATATTTTAAAATGACAGGCCACATAGCTTTCACTCAGACTATTACTTTTTTTTTTTTTTTTGAGATAGGGTTTTGCTATGTAGCCCAGGTTGGCCTCAAACTTGTGGTGAACCTCCCTGCTCAGCCTCTGGAGTGCAGGGATTACAGGCGTATGCTGTCACGCCTGCCAACAGACTATGATGGGCTGCAAAAAATGTCAAGTCTGCATGCAGTTTCAGATTGTCTGAAGCACTTCAAGTGATACCAAAGCGAGAAGAGACATACTAGTGTAAGCATCCTAAAATTTTACAATACACAGATACATGAATATGTGTGACATTTATTTATGTATGTATCAATGTCACATATATTTTATATGGAAGCCTAGACCAATATTGTCTTGAAAAACTCTCTTTTAACTGATGGGGGAAAGGTTTTGTTTTTAAAATCACTTAACATTTTTAATGGCAATTCCAGGCAAACTATTCAGTGGATACATAGCTGCATAATATGTTCCTCATGTTAGGATATTTTTAGAACACACAAAAGCAGTTTTAGACACTGACTATACTTTGCAGGAACCCAAACAGCCCCATTCCAAGACAATGGAATGTACCTTGTTGACAGTGCACAGAGGGAGCCCGCTGCAACAACGTATTTGGCAGGACCCCATCCAACATACTCAAATGCTACCGGAAGGGGACTTTTCTCATCAAGGAGGTAGTATGGCATCATAAGTGTCAAGGCTGCAGACACCCCAAAATAGGCCATAAAACAAACAAGCAAAGACGTCACTATTCCAATAGGAATAGCCTTCTGGGGATTCCGGACTTCTTCACCTAAGGAAATACAAACAAACAATGTGCATGCTTAATAAGTCATGATTAGGCAAAACAACTTAATGTGCATCAAATTCTTTCTCTCTCCCATTGTAATTCTAACCTGCTTTTGTTCCTTCTGTTTTCTTAGAGTGGTCCACTTATTTTACATTAAATTTCCCCTCTCTTCTTGAAAGTACTTCCCTCTTACATAAAAATCCAATTCCCAAAGGGAGAAATCATACAAGTAATATTCCCTTTTCCAGGAGAAAGTGATGTATCAGCACTCTTAAGTGTTTAAGAGCACAGCAGTCTCACTCTATATGGAAAAAGACCGCCCACATAAATGAAATGACTGCTGTGACATTCTGTATGTTCGTACACATGAAGGCTTTAGAGAAACTTGTTTCATCTATTATGTGAAACTGAATTCTTTGTAACCTTTTTGTAAGATTTGACATCCGAAGTACCCCAAACATGAGTAGTTATAAGACTATGCAGTGACAAGAAGTTAGAAGGAGCACCTGGACAGTGATTCAGTCACGAGGACTTTGTTGTACAAGATAAAGAGAAAATAACAGCATAAGGAACAGACAGTTGAAGAACATAACCATTTGGAAGTGAGAGCACATCCACATAGTTTAAGGATAATAATCATGAATTATACTTGTAACATATTTCACAGCTGCAAAGTATTTCCGCTATGTGCACCTTGGCAATCTTGGTACTGCGCTCCCAATTTTACCAATGTGGAAACCAAGGTTTAGGGAGTTTTACCAAGTGTCTTATTTTTTAAAAACCATATATAGCAGATGTCACAGATAGATCAGGAACTAGCACCCTTCTTATCCCAAACCAGCTGTCTTTCCTTGACCCTCTGCTTCCACACATGGCTACTCCTGTGGTACAGGGAACACCTTTCCTTCTACCTAGATCTGAGGCACTGCTCTTACCAGTTGTTGCAATGCAGTCAAATCCCACAAAGGCATAAAAACAAGTTGCAGCACCAGCCAAGGTTCCTGCAAAGCCATAAGGCATAAAGCCACCAGCCCCATAGATACTTGTTCCATTTTCAAAAGGTGACTCTCTAAAGGAAAAAGAACAAACACATAGAAAAGTCATTTTCATAGAAACATGCTCCTTCTAGGAATCTGTCTCAAACTACATGCTTGTCAGCTCTTTGAACCTGATAAATATAAAACTGAAGCTTTATTATCTCAACCTGTTTTAGACCATGGTAGAACCTTCATGATAACTCTCTTATGTCACTGTCTTAGTTACTTTTCTCTCATTGGTAAGGCAACATACCTAGCACCCAAAGTTAAAGGGAGGAAAGTTTATTTGGCTCACAGTTTGTAGAGGTTTCAGTCCATAACTGGCTGACTCCAAGGCAGGGTGGCAAGGCAGGGTGGCATGGCAGAGGGGCATCGCAGAGGAGAAATAATCCACAGAGGGTAGAAGATAGCAAAGCCAGCAAGCAAGGGACCTTAGCAGCTTTTTTCTGCCCCTTTATACTCTAGGGTACCAGGATGAGGGTGGTACAGAGCTATCAGTGGACTGATTTAGTAACCACACACCCTTAATCCTAGCACCCTTAGCCTAGCATTGCACCATCAATCAGTCACACACTCTAGCTTTAGTCACCTCTGAAAAAGTCCCACCTGTGACCATAGGAGGCTTTGGGGGGATGTCTAGACACAGTCATAACAATCACAGACATACAACTAGAGGCTGATCACCAGCAAATGCACACAGCCCCCACGACCACCCTGCCTACAACACAAAGGCAGGCCAGACTTGGAGAACAGAGACCCCACACACGAACCATGTGCCATAGCATAAGAAAGTTCCTTATTTTTTTCTATAAGAATCCATTCTTCACCTCATGAAGCACAAAATAAGGCAGACTACACATTTTTAAAATTCATTAAGAAATGGAAAAGTGAAACAAAATTTCCTAGCCTTGATTAATCATACATTTAAAACTGTAAAAAATCAGAGGATCCTAACTTTTCTCTTACCAGAATGACTACAAATTACATATATGAAGAATAACAAAGCAAGGTGTGGTGGTATATACCTGTAATGTCAGCTACCCAAGAGACTAAGGCAGAAAGATTACAAGTTCAAGGGCAGCCTGAGCAGCCTAGCAAGACATTGTCTTAAAATAAAAAAGAAGAGGGATATAGCTAGTGATAAGGCACTTGTCTGGCATGAGCAAAGCCCTGAATTCAAACCCCAATACCTCAAAAAAACAAAAAAACATATGGTTAGATGTACCTTACTCCATGTAATTTATGTTCTTGTACTCTTATTTCTACTTACGCAACTAAACATTTCCCAGAAAACAAAGACTGAAAATTACTAAAACCCTCAAAGAATGAAATTGAATGGTCATTTCAAAGGAAGAACTAAAAGATGCAGACTCAAAGTACTCACTATTATTTTGAGGGGGCAAACTGTGGGGGAGAAAGGGACACATTCTCCAGTAGTCAGGCCCTCCCTTTCCTCTTCCCCTAAACACCAGGCAGAGATTGAGGTTGGGAACCAGCAGCTGGGTGGCTTCTCACAAAGGCTCCACAGCACACACACCCATACCTTCATGTATGGAGGAGAGCTCTCTAAGAACCACTGCTCTACATAGTCTTCACAAGCACCCTCTTAAAATGCGGCATTTTAAAAGCGGAAACCTCTAAATATTTTACCCGGCACTCGCTGATGTGTTTCTGAGCAACTCTTCACTGATTTTCCAGTTAGTCACATTTCCTTTCACAAACCCAGCAACCACGACAAACAGAAGCACCAAGATATTAACAGCTGTGAAGAATTTATTCACCCAAGCAGACTCTTTTACTCCAAAAGACAGGAGACCTATGGAGGAAGGAGAGACATTTTACTTTTTACCTATGGCAAAGACTTGGCATTCTGAAGCAAATGTGGGGTTCAGGATATTGATGCACCCACATTCATGTATCTAACTCCTATGTATCCATTTCTTCAGTGAACTCCTACTAATTAGTTATCTAATTGTGAAACAATGTCATCTAAATACAACTGATGGCTTTCTAGAGGCAGAATGAGCTACCGGATTTCACACTAAGAAATACGTTAGCTTAGTAACTGCTATTAACCAATGGCAGGAAATATAAGGTGATATTTAATTTTAATAGGATGCTTTACTAAAAAGCCACTTTAAGGTTAAAGATTATAAAATATTCTTAAAAGCTTAATCATATGTCTGGTATATATTTACTGAGTACAAGAACAGAAAATAATTCAATTGTTACACCAAAAGTTCTCTGTTAAATCTATTCTCATTTTAATGGCTTTATTTTATACTCCAACTGTAAAAATAGCTCAGTTGAAGACACAGAAGTATGAAGAGAACAAAAATCAACTGTGGTCCTCCCTCCAGAATTCTACACCCTTAAGCACACACATATATTTCCATATCAATAAACATAATTCCACTTAAAAAAAAATAGGGTCTTACCACTTTGCCCAGACTAGCCTCAAACACAGAGTCCTCCTTCCTTAGCCTCCCAAGTAGCTGGGATTACAGGCACATGCTATTGTACCCAGCTATAATCTCATTTTTGACAGCTGCATGATCTACTATAAGGAGATATCATACTTTAACTAATCCTTTATTTATAGACACTTAGGTCACTCTTAGGTTTTTATTTCTTTAAATTATAAACTGCTGACATCACCACCCTTTTATAAATTTTTCTCTACACTCTCTAATTCTTTCTTGCAATAGTTTTCTGTAAGTGTGTATCAAAGTATATGTCCTTTGTATAAGGCTTTTGACTTATACTATCAAAATACCCTCACAGACTCTGGCCCCAATTTATACTGCCCATTTTTCCTATCGGGGTATTCTGTTCGTATTTATTTATAAGATTTATTTATATATTAATGCTATAAGCATTACAGTATATACTTGCCCTATTTAACATTTGCTTCTTAAAGTTATTTATTTGTCTGTGGTGTTAGGGATAAAACCCAGGGCCTTGGCATGCTAGGAATGTGCTGAGTTATACTTCAAGTCCTCAAGTCCTATCACTTACTTTTAAACTTACTGTTCATTCCATAGAGAGAAAAGTTATTGGAATTATCCATATATTTTTTTTTTCAGTTTCTTTTTTTCTTTTTTCTTTTTTTCCTTCCTGGAGATAGGTTCTCACTATATAGTGCAGACTGGCTTTGAATTCACTAGATAGCCCAAGCTGGTCTCGAACTTGTGGCAATCCTCCTGTCTCAGCCTCCTGAGTGCTAGGATTACAAATGTGTACCATCAAGCCCGGCCATTTTTCCTTTTTAGTTTCTACTTTTGGTAAGATCTTCCTTAATATTAACCCCAATATATTAGCTTTGTTTCCTTCCAGTTTCTTTGTAATTATTACACTCATTGTATTTGTGTTTTAATTAATTAATTAATTTTATTTATTTTTGTCATTTTGAGACAAGTTCTCACTATGCAGTTCTGGCTGGCCTTGAGCTCACTCTGTAGCTCAGGCTGGTCTCATACTCACAACAATCCTCCTGCCTCAGCCTCCTGAGTGCTGGGATTATAGGCATGCACCACCACGTCTGGCTGTCATATTTGTGTTTTGAAGATATAAATTATGGACCTAAAAGAGTTTATGTTTTGCCACTGGAGAAATTATTGCTATGAAAGGGTTATGCCACAGATTTTCTTCCCCATGTCCATACTACCCACCATCACATAGGCAAAATTTTCCAAGGAGAGGTGAGAAAAGTTGAATTTAATTCTTTACTTATATAATTCCCAGAAGCACATAATAAAAATATATATATTAGTGAAATGAAGGAAAGTGGTAGGGTTAGCACAATTACTCACAAACAATTGTTAGGTTAGGAACCACTGCTATAGACATCAGAGAAGAACAAAACCACATTTTATATTAGCTCCTCAACATCCATGTGGGGAGCTGGGGAACTAATATATCTACTCTCCAGCCTCATCTCCCACCAGTATGTACTTTAGAGACCAAAAATATCTGAACTGAATGTTATGTAGTCTTCCCTTGTCTCTTTAATGAAATAAAACTATATTTAATAGTTTCAGTTGATAAGACATTGGGTATTACACTATGGATAAAGATTTATAACAAGGTTTTGATCCTTAGAGATTCTAGTAACAGTGATAATGTAGGCTTAGACTATATTTCAAGGAACGATACGGTAATGTCTGAGCTTTAGTGCTGCCATGGAACTAGCAATTCTAACTACATGTCAGTTACATGCTTCTCAGCCTTGAGGGACTACAGCTAAGTATTTTGTTTACTGAAATAACACTTATATAAAACATAACTGAATGGTAGCTAGATTGTTTAGGAACCAAAATTTGATGAAAAACAATGAATTTGATGAAAAACAATGAATGTAATTTTTCTTGACATTAAAAGCAAAATGTTTTAGACCTAAAAGTTTTATGTTCCTGTCCCTATCCTTACATAGTACATTTAATGAAACTTTTTAAAAGGGAGAATTACTTTTAAAACTGTAATTTATAGGTAAACATTTCATAATAGAATGGTATTTTTGACACATTCTTCTAGCCCAAGGAAGAAACAAGTATGGCTATCCAGATAGGAATGTAAGGGGCAGATTACTCAGTGTAAATCAGGTAGGAAATGGAAAGAAATACAGATTTTATGTTTATCCTCAATGGGTTTTTAAACAGGACTGCAGACAGGAATTAAATAAAAATAGAAGGCATTCAAATGATTAAAACAAATATAAGGGGACAGCAGGGATTATTCATAGTTACAAGATAAAAACTGTCACTGGGGTGGTGACTGCATAGCAAGCAAAACAATGTACTCATTTTGTGGATGACTGAACTGAACTGAGTGATGGAAAGACTGAGTAAATTCTTTTTTGTTGTTGTTTTTTTTTCAAGTACCGGGGATCCAACTCATGACCTTGCACTTGCCAGGCAGGCACTGTGCCGCTGAGCTAAATCCTCAGTCCCAAGACTGAGTAAATTCTTTAGGTTCCAAGAGTAGTTAAACAGCAGAGCAAGACTGAAAATCTGCTTCCTCCTACTCTAATGTATGTTCCTTTCTAACCCCTGTGCTACAAACAGGACTGATGAACATGGAAAAATTCCAGTACCAACTATGCGCCTGCACAACATCTGCTTAACAAATGACAGATAATCTGTATGTTTCCTTTGCCTTGTTATATAGATGAAAGCAGGGTAAGATCTCAGAATTTCTTCTAGAAATAATATGCTTGTAAGTGTATGTAGCTGCATTTTAATAAGATGAAATAATGCCAGATCTTCACTAGCATTCCTGCAAATCTCCAATTAGTGCCGAAAACTGATGCCCTCATCCTGTTACTTAGTTCATGCCAGGTATGTTTACTCAGAGGTGTTATTTCTACCATTTCACACAACTTAGACTTAGTTTTGAAACACACCAACCATGTAAGATAAAATGTGATTCTAGCCAGTGAGGCGGCCCAAAGACATCCAACAGTAATTTCAGTGTATGAATTTGATGACTCAGTCTGGAGAACTCACCTTCCAAATTCAGCAGTAACCTACTTTTCTGGACAATTAATTTGGCTCATTACAAAGAAAGGTATACAGTAATAGTTTTCTTACCTGCCAGAATTAAGATGAGGCACACAGCAAAAAAGTCTGGATACTCTGCCAGGCCAGTATAATTCATTTTGAAGTACGTCTTGAAAAACTGACCAATCTGTTTGTTAAGCAATTCATCAAAGGTGCCACTCCATGCTCTTGCGACACTTGACGTACCTTCCCCAGACACAGAACATGCAGAGAATATAAGGTCACTGGCAGAAAATTAATATAACATCATTTGCTACTTTAGTCCAGATTATCATGGCCTAGTTCATATGCAATGAAATTTTTAATCAATTATAAAATTATGTTGCTAATTTTATAATATTATAATAGTAATCAAATGCCCAAGTTCATAAGCGCAGTGCAGAATCTGGTAATAATTTCACTAGTAATAAAGAAATTCTTATATAAAAAATTGGAATTTCAACCCCATTAAGAGGACTATTCAGAGATGAAGCAGAAACTCAGATTTTATTTCCAATTAGAAGAAGTCCTTTTAGAGATGGGAAAAATGAGACATAAAGGGACTAGGCAATCCATTCATAATCATCCAGCAGCTAAGGAATACAGACTACTACTGAACAAAGTAGTAGCCTTTCACTCAGGAGTAGTAGCCTTTCACTCAGGACTGTCTTTTCTACACAACTGAAATTTGGTTTTAAAACATACCTATAACATAAGATAAAATGAGATTCCAGCCAGTGATGAAGGCCCATAGCTCACCAACAGTAACATAAGTATACAAATAGGCAGATCCAGTCTTGGGGACTCGGGCTCCAAACTCAGCGTAGCAAAGGCCTGCCATCACCGATGCCAAGGCAGCGATCAGGAAGGACACGACAATACTAGGACCAGAATCTGCTTTGGCAACCTCCCCAGCAAGGACATAGACCCCAGCACCCAGAGTGCTTCCAACCCCCAGGGCAATGAGGTCCATGGTGGTTAAGCAGCGGCACAGTTTGGAGTCCTCTAGACTGTCCATAGTGACAATTTTTCTCCGGATCAGACATCGGGCAAAGGTGAGCACTGCTCTGCAGGGAATCATTCTGAAGAAGGTAACCTGAGCAAGAGAAAGGAGGAGGTTAGAAGCTGATCTGGAGCCACTATACCTCTTTTAGCCACCTGTTTGGAGACAAAATTAAGGCAGTGGTACTTTTTTTTTTCTTAACTTGTTGATTGACATGTAGCTCTAAGCAATCAGAACGAGGTTTTATGAAGACAAAGTCAGATTTCCTGGAGTTTACTCACATATGAGACTACAATAATAAATGGCTTACCTGGAAGCAAAAGAATGTCCCCGAGTGATTAAAAGTCATTCTTGTTCACTTACTAAAATTTTCAGGGTATGTTGATAGAACTACATTTCAGGAGACAGCTAATTTAGTCTTCACCATGAGGAAGGGAAAGAAGTGCCTCACCCTCAAAATTCTCTTTCTTCTCTTTAATCATTCATTCAGCTCAGATTTTTTAGGCCTTACTAAATGTTAGGCATTGTGTAAGAAATGATATTACATAGATATGCTCTCTGTGGTCATTATGTATTCTACAGCTTTACCAAATGTGTGAACTACTCTTTTCATTTTAAACAATTAATATGCAGCAGATATAAATTTATGAGATAAAAGAATTCTCTTCCAGTATGCTTTGATTATTTTAACTAAAGCTGCTGTTCAATCATGTTTTAATTAGGAACTGATAGTAAAATACACATACTTATATTTATTTGAAAATTTTAAATAAACCCAAAGTCTGTGCCAACTATATGCTCTTTTTTAAAGGGAGGGAAGAAGGAAGATCTAAAGTCCCATGCCCTACCCACACAGCACCAAACAATCTAACACTGAAAAGAAGAGCAGATTGTAAAACAAAACATGAATTATAGGAAGAAAGAAAAATATACAGTATATAACTAAGGGATAGGGAACATAGTATATGCTGCTCATCAGGCAATGGAATTTTAGAAGTTAAAAATGAAGTCTGCTGTTATTTCACGTATTGCACTTCTGTACAAGGATCCTGTTGACCTTCAATACTATCTTCTTTGACTTTATTATAGTCATCATCAAAACCTAAACACTCAAGATCACAGGTTGGCATCTTTGCTTAAGAACTTAGACTTTTATATACCAAACTTAAACCCTTGGGTACTTCTCAACCTTAATTTCAAGCTAGTATTAACAATTATACTAACATAAATAAAAACTGAAGAAAATAGTAAAACAATCTATATGGCTTGTGGCTCACAGAGGCGTTTCTAAAATGTTAGTAAACTAGTTTCATGTTAAACCTAGTAAATAAAACTAACTTACTGAACATTATTTACATATAAGTGAAAGTTCTCAATATTGAAAGCAGCTCTTTCAAGGAATATAATGCAAAACCCTAAGAAAGACTGAAAACAGATGAAAAAATTCCATGAAGATAAAAACAAACTTTTACTCATCTTCAGTTTTTCTCCATACCATCTGACAGAAGGCCAAAGCATGGCACTTAACAAGTGCCAGTTTTTGTTGAAAAATTTGCAAATACAGGGGCTGGGGATTTAGCTCAGCGGCAAAAGCGCCTGCCTGGCAAGCGCAAGGTCGTGAGTTTGGTTCCCGGTACCGGAGAAAAACAAAAAACAAAACAAAACAAAACAAAACGAAAAATTTGCAAATACAGATGACATAGTCAATTTTGCCAATACTGTATTTAGGTTTCCAAAGTCAAAACCCATCAAGATTTGTATAAATCACACATGTACCATTGTATACACTAGCTAACTTTCTTCTGTGTGTATAGTATTAGAGCTTGAACTAGGGCCTTCACACTATGCCCAGCCCAATTTTTATGTATTTTATTTTGAGACAGGTTCTCCCTAAGTTGCCCAGCCTGGGTTTGAACTTGTGATCTTTCTGCCCCAGCATTTTACAGTACTTGGATTACACAAGTGGGTCACTATGCCTGGCTCAGCTAACACTTTTACAGCTACTCCTCATATAACATAGCTAGAAGATAAGGTAAGGAAGCATTCTGCTTAAAAAGAATGAAAAAGTAAAAAGTAGAAGTTCTATGCAGAGGTCAACTGAGGAAGGACGGACAGAGAATATTTGTTAAGTGTTAAATTTCTGTAACATTCAAGTGTTTTTATACATCAAGACATGTTCAAAGATCAAGAACTAGGGATGACTGCCGCGTGAAAAGGGCTAGGAAATGGCTCACTCAATTTCAGTGATTCAGCATCATGTGAAAATGGGACCAAGATGTCACATTCAACTTTAGGAACAGTTAACAAAACAAGGTACACCTGTTTGTCATTTAAATAAAACATTCATGATGGAGTACTTCACTTACTTTAATGTTTGTGAATAAAAGACAAATTTTACAATTATGCATATGTGCAAAGAAAGGATCAGGAAGGAAGGAAGATGAAGAGATTTTTTATTAGAGACCTTTTATTTTTTTAAATCCTTTTCTGGAATTTTAATCATAATGATATTTGTGAAATGTCTAAAAGAAAAACAGCATAAAAACAGAAACTAAGCAAGTCGATCAAGTTATCCAAAATGACTGTATGACAGTGGTCACCTCTTCAATACAAAATTCAATTCAATTCACTCCAGATTATACAGGAAGTTGAATGGCTTATAGAAATGCATCACTTCCACCAGGATAGATTAGATTTCCTCTGTTTCTTATTAAAGATGGAAAGTATTCTTTGGGCAGATAATTTTCTACAGTGCTCTGAGGAAATAAGACAAACATGCTATTTGTCAGGCATCCATTAGCTTATGAGTAATTGAAAAGTATACATCAGAAACTTCTCAGAATTGACAGGTCACTCAATATCCTTTGCAAACAATCTCAACTACACATAACCTGGTACAGCACTGATTACCAAAGCCAAGACACAAAACTAATTTTGTGAAAATATAATGGCATGGGAGAAAGAGAATATAAAACCACACTTAGTCAACATAATGAGTCATTGTTAAACAAATATTCATTGAGTCCTAGCAGGTATATGTATCATGCTGTATTTAGTAGACAAAGAAAAAGATAATCGACCCAATCCCGGAGGCCAGGACGCGAGAACAAAGACCCCGGTGACACTGCAGACTGAGTTTCTAGGCGCTGGGAGGCCCAGGGGACGGGCGGGGC